AGACACACAGTGTTCATTCTGCACCAGTGGCCCCTCCTGGGAGACACACAGTGTTCATTCTGCACCAGCGGCCCCATCTGGGAGACGCACAGTTTAAAATCTTATCAGGAGGACAGCACCTCCTACAGGAGAGTGTCTCCAGTCACCATAGTGGGGGTGTGGTGGCTCTGTGGCTAAGCACCTGTGGCTGGGAGGTTGCTGGTTCGTATCCCGCAGCCGGCAGAGGAATCCTACTCTGTTGGGCCCCTGAACAAGGCCCTTAGCCCCAACTGCTCCAGGGGCGCTGTACAATGGCTGACCCTGCGCTCTGACCCCAAGCTTCTCTCCCTGTCTGTGTGTCTCATGGAGAGCAAGTGGGGTATGTGAAAAGACAAATTCCTAATACAAGAAATTGTATATGGCCAATAAAGTGATCTTATCTAGTCTAGAAATTCTGGTCCAGACAGAAGTCTTGCTTTAACAATGATAATATTTCTGGAACGATATTCACAAAGCACAACGGCCCATGTAGGGTAGCAGGAAGGCTTGATGACGCTGTGGCGCCTATAGTTGTGGTGTTTTTTCCATTATTGTTATCTACTTACATACTGGTAAGTATCCTCGCATACGAGCAAAATCTTACATACTGTACCAGTACTGCAGAAACACACACGTCTGGCTATTGTACTGGTTTCGTCTACTTGGGTCTGCCAGTGCTAGACGCTACCGAGTCAGAATCTTTATTACGTAGTACAGCTCAGTCGTGTTCCCGCGCAAGTGTGCAATCGCTTCTTCACCAGAAGATAATCATTCAATCAATTGTATTGACCTTTTGTGTCACAGACTTTCCTGTGGCTCCTTAATTCAGACATCTCGGTCCCTTGAGCTATTTTCGCTTTCATGAAAGGAAGGGGCAGAAAGTGTTCGTGAATGACGTGTAGACACTTGAAACTTTCGCATCCGAGCAAAATAAATATAATTCCCACATCAGGACGCTATCTGCAAACTCATCACGACTTTCTTAAGGGAACGTTTGATGTAACTGTAAAATTACTTCTTTAGTTACCATTATTACCGAGCAATCAGATCTGCTCATTAGAATAGCTATCAAGCTCTGTATTCACCGCCAGTCCCAGCCTCGTGAAATGTCAGCAGTGGCGTTTGACACACACCTACTGTATGACAATCTGAAGCTTTCCAACACATCACAAAATAACATTTCAACTGCGCGTCACAACAAAGTATTGCAGCGGAAGATAGAGGCTATTTATTACAAGTCTGCGATCACTCAGTGATTGTTTCGCATTTGTCAGTCTGGCATCGCACTTTGATGCCAAGGCACTATCAGCACTGATCACAAGTTGCAAGCAATCATCAGCTAAATTACTAATACATATGCTGTAGAATTCTGCTCTGCCCCGTGATTTTGTATCAAGAGCTGTGGATTCGCCAGCAGCCTCATCAGCTTCTACTGTAACGGCTGATAGTCGACCAGCAGGTGGCGCCCTTCCGGCTGGGCCAAAATGTCTAAACAAACCGCCCAGTATAGTGGCTGCTGACAGGGTGTCAACCTTCAGAAGAGACGGTAAAATGTTTTATGGAATGAAAAAAAACCACTATAAAATGCTATTATTATTATCATTATGAATGCTACTATAGTGTCGATTAGAATAAGGCTTCAAGGGCATTTTTAATCATACTGAAAGTATTACAATTATTTGAATTTTAAACTGTACTGTTATTATAATGACAATTTCAGGCTACAATATGCAACAATACGAGTAGTTATAGTAGCAGTATATGCACATGGCTATACTGCAGGCAGTGTAACCGATACAGCCATTTTTACAAACTATTGAGCTACTATACTACTAACCACCCTCAACGACGGTTCAGATATGCTGCAATTAGCAGGCAGAGCCACGAGATGGCGACGCGAGCCACATCAGCCTTGCAAGAACTTCAGCACCTACCGAGATGAACAGCTACAGTCATCAGACTGGGCGCATAACTGTCATTGAGTTTTTTGGGGGGAGGTGAGAAGAAACTATGCATAACCTTTCAGATGGGTAATTAATCACATCACAACAATCATTATTTCAAATCTAGAGCACTTGTTTTCCCCAAAAGACTGCTGTTAATAACAATGATGACGAGCCTTCGTTTAACAAGATAAATCAATTGAAGAAAAACATCCCATTTGCAGTTATGACCCAGCCATTTTTTCTCATGCCCTTAGCGACAACGCAATATGTAGTAAGGTGGTTTTCTTTTCAGTATTGTAACCTTGATGTAGAAAAATGTATCTGTATTTATATTGCATTAAAATGAACTGGTTCTCAAAACAAAGCCCACCGATATTCAACAGGCCCAGTCCTTGTATTTCATCAAGACATATTATCAGCCATCCCTCTTCTCAGGCTAGTGCTCTGCCTGGGTGATGTATCCCAGACTATTTTTTATGCCAGAGAGAAAAGCTATAAGCCAGAACTCACTAGACAAGATCAAGCTGACAGGGCAACTGTTAGATCCAGTTCTTACCCCTGTGTTCCCAGAGAGCGATCTTTTCTCTCCCCATTGATCCCGTTGTCGCCCACTTCCTCTCTGCCCTTGTCTGTCCGGACTCTTCCACCCTCCTCCTTGACAGCCTGATCCCTTAGCCCCAGGGCTGCGTTTCTCCCCCAGTGAGCGACTGCAGGTGACAGGACTCAGGGGCTCTCAGTGGGGCAGGAAAGGGAGAAATGAATCAAGGTCTTCAGGAGTAAAGAAAAAAAGTACAGTATAGCTAAAAGTATGTCTGTTGTACCCTTTCTTTCTCTCTTAATGGTTCATAAGGAATTTTGTGAAGTGAATACATCCAGCCATTTTCCAACTGCCAGGATACACCCCTGACTGATGCCATTCCATCGCAGGACTGACACAGAGACACGAACACACACTAACACTGTGGGTGATTTTCGCTATTCTAACTGCTAGGTTCATTTTCCTAGAAACCAATTACCAGCATGTCTTTGGACCATGGGGGGAAACTGGAGCACCTGAAGGAAACCCACACAAATCAAGGGACAACACGCAAACTCCACACAGACAGTACTCCAGGTCTGGAATGGAACCCAGGGCCCCAGCACTGCAAGGCAGCTATGCTAACTACTCCGCCGCCTGAGGTGAATTGCTAATTTTGAGCTTCTCCTTTCACACTGTTATAATGTTGCTTGTAATTATTGGCATCACAAGGAGCAAACTTCACCCATAGACACTCTGAAGGAAAACACATGGACCCAAATAGTGGCGGATGCCACTGGTTCCTGAAGAGTCTTCTTACCCTCCATCAGAACCTTCCCAGAGCCCACGGGCTGTCTGAGGATGAGCCATGACCCAATCCAGCACGTTTAACACACTTTCCACTCTTCACAAAGAAAAATAAATTAACCCAGAATCAGAGCTGATTCATATTCCTGTATTCACACAGAGGGGATGGAGCTGACACACCGGTAAAGTCAAATCATCTGACCT